AAACTGTGTCAAACAGTGAATTCATGTCAGAATGCCCAAGGATACAAACAATCCCACACCCCAATCAAATTCACACTTGACACCCTGCTCTACAATTATTCTCTCTTAGAAAGTTCAGTTGCACTGAAAGAACATGGGTGTCAGGCCTGCAGCCATGTTCCTTTTGGATCTTTGACCTGCCACATTTCTATTATTCTATTATGCCTTTTTCTATTGTGGGAAAATGGGAGGGGGAATTGTATGGAGTTAGATGCTATGTAGCCAAAGCAAAATTCCTCCTAGAAAGCCAAGGTCATCCTTTGTCTCTGCACCTGACCGGAACTGGATGCGGAGAACTGCCAGAATGGCAATGGGACATTGGACCATGTGATGGACTTGTGATTGTGGGGCAAGATATTGAACTTTCAACTACGTGAGGAAAACCTGGAAGCTTTCAGATTTGGGTTTCCGCAGATGTGCCAACATGGCTCTCTTAATAAATTGGAACTTTGAGCAATACTTTGCCTTGGACTCTGATTTAATTTTGGATGCTATTTGGAACCCTGACAATGGATTTCAACAGGTGCTTAAGAGCAAACAACGCGTTACAGGAAGATCTCAACGTACAGCCACAACTGAGCCCACGATTTAGGTTGTTAAGTAAGGAATTTGTTTGCCCCATTTTACAACTTGTCTTGCTACAGTTGTTAAGTGAATCACTGATGTGGTTAAATTAGTAACACGGTTGTTCAGTGACTCTGGCCTCCCCACATATTTTGCTTGTCAGGTGGTTGCAAAAGGGGATCACATGACCCCAGGACAAGTCATAAATGTGAGTCAGTTGCCAAGCATCTATAAATCACGTGACCATGGGGATGCTGCAACAGCCGTAAGTGTGAAAAATGGTCATGTCCTTTTTTTAATGCCATTGTAACTTTGAATGGTTACTAAATGAACTATTGTAAGTTAAGGACTACCTGTACTATATACAGGAACTGAAAACCACAGCCGTTGGAGCAATGTCTGAATAGTTTTGTTGCTGTCCATGGTCCTGGAGCATTTCCCAATATCTCAATTTCTTATTCCAATATGAATCGTTTGTGTATCTATGACAGAAGGAACCAGCTTTTCCAGAAGAGCAGAATTAACTTCTTCAAAGAGTGTTTGAAAGGTTTTTTTAAAATGTAGGTACGCTCAATTCTAACAACCGTAACTTTGATGTGACACTTCCTGAGGTCTTTATATGGACCTGCATGTATAATACTAACACTCAGGAAATAAACAAACTGGCTTAATTTCCACACAAAGACCATGTTCCCGCAATAGGAGTCTCAACTTGAATCAAGCCAGAGTGATTAGTATAGGTTTCCATGCATTGTATGATTCCAGAAAATGCATTTAATTAGATAAACCTTAATGAACCCTAGAACTATATATAGGAAAACTGTCAAATAATATAGAGTGAAATACAAAAAGAAATACAGTAGTAAAGTTGCTGTCCAAATACGTTATTAGGAACATCATGACAACAGGAGTGAGTAGGATGGATTAATAGATATGTTGTTGTTGTTAGTTGCAAAGTCCAACCCATTGTGACCCCATGGACAACATTCCTCCAGGCCTTCCTATCCTCTACCATCCTCCGGAGTCCATTTAAACTCACGCCTCCTGCTTCGGTGACTCCATCCAGCCCCCTCATTCTCTGCTGTCCCCTTCTAATAGACATATTTCATCCTACACATTTTTAATTGAGGGTTTCCAATTGGAGAATGAAGATTTGCGATAAAATGATTATTTTTAAAAAGGAGAAAGTGTTCTTTTCTTTCTCTTTTAACCTTACTCTGATGCCAAAGAGTTCTCCAAAATTGTAGACTCCAGAACTCCATAGAGATTCTGCCCACCCCAGATTCCCACTCTATTATTTTCTTTGTAAGACTATTATTGCCCTGTGTAAGTTTTAATCAGCTTGGGGTAAAAGACCTTTTGCAATGATGACTATGAGCTCAGCAGACTTTGAGAGATATAATAAGCCAAGCAAGGAAGTTACAACTTACTTAAAGAAAGGAAAACACTAAAGCATTTACATCCAAAAATGACTATCATTATGCAAATTATACATTTTTGACGCCAAAAGTAGAGGAAGAAACTTCTCTACTCAAAAAATAAAATAACTGTAATTGTTCAAATTATATACATATTTAAAGCTGACTAATCAAAACCATTTGGACTCAGCGAGAAGTTTGTAGACATTTCTATTAGCTATGAAATAACTAGGTTTGTATTAATTTATAGGAATGGGGAAAGGGTTCTATCTCTGGATGAAGTTGACTGCATTAGACCCCAGGGAATCTCCAATGCTTTTATGCCCATCATTTCAAGATCTATGAAGGACACTCTTGAATTGATAGAAATCTCCATCCTTTAGCCAGTAGCTATTTTCATAGTTACTGCTAAATCATTGTTTTGCTTAGTTTGTTGGGCAAGTTATACTGAGTCTCACAGACAGCTCAATTGCTATCCTAAGCTCTATTGTGGCATGGCTTGGTACGACACCTGGAAAAGGACCACGGTCAAGCCGAGGGCTACAATTACGACGTGTGATTACAGTTTTGAGTTTGATTAGCTCACCTTAATCACAGTCCACAGTGCCATTCAAATCTAAACTAAAGGTTACTTTATAATTCTTAAGCTTCCAGGAAAGTGACATGGGACACAAGAATAGCTGTAATGGGGAGCTGCTCCTCCTCCACCACCATCTCCCTTGCCCATACTTTGTTCTTTGTCCCAAGGAGTATATGACATACACAAAAGATATTTACCCTTCTCACTGAACATCATGAGCTTCTGTTTTTGTGTAGAAGGAAGGAAGGAAGGAAGGAAGGAAGGAAGGAAGGAAGGAAGGAAGGAAGGAAGGAAGGAAGGAAGGAAGGAAGGAAGCCAACTAGCCAACCAGCCGGAAGCAC